ACAAGAAACTGAATTTTTAGGGCTCCAGACAAAACAAAAATTAACAAAGTATAAAACAAAAATGCAAAAGATAACAAAAGTTTGTATCTTTCGCAAATGATGCATAAATGTTTATTTTTCATTGTTTCATAATATTCAAGTGAAACCAATCATTTAGCTAGTCTGCTTAAACCCTGCCCCTTTCTCACATTGAGATCTACCTTCATCCTATCAATACCCGATGTATAGAAGTCCAACCCTACATTTTTAAAAAAAAAATCAATAATCTATTTCGTTCAGATGTACATTACAAATACAGAATAAAAGATATGTAACTACTTGTGTTACATTGGCTAAAGACCCAATGTAATTATGTAATGTAATGAGCTTCAGAATGTCATAAAGCAGGTGATCACCTTTTGGAAACAGGCAAACACTTCCTCTCTGTGTTGAATATAAGTCATTGATAAGTTTTCCACTTGCAGGGTCAAAGGCTACACAGGTCTTGTGAGAAATGATGGAAGAATTGTGATGCAAACTTTGATACAACCCAGAGATGACAAGCTGGTCTTGTGGTTGGACATTGGAATCTATAAGAAACAACAACAAAATGTAGCTTAGCAGAAAATTGATCTTTTTGAACAAATTAATCTGTCTGGGTCCACCGAACAGCCAGCAACCCAAGTTTGTATCTACTCTGCCAATTTTAAGACGTCATCATGAATCATAGTCCTTCACTTTCCAAGTCTGTAAAGACCATGTGTCCTCTGGGTCCATGACTCATGTGAAGTGAAGAGTATATTCTGAAGGGTGGGTCTCAGCATTACTGCATGGATGAAATATCTACAACCATCTCAGCCTGAGTACCAATCCAAGGTTGGACCTACGAATACGTTGGTCTCCTGGCCATCGCCTTCGATGTGATTGGTTGAGTTGCGGGAATTCCCAGAACCCACAACCGTTCCATTCACCCAGATGACCCACTTCCCGCTATTCCCAACCCAACTCGCACAAACAAAGTGCAAGGAGGCATCACTGGGAAAGCCAGTTATGTAGGTGGTGTTTGAACCATGCCCCAGCAATGCAAGGTGGACCGGTTCGTTCCCGGTGATTCGTGCTTGGAGTTGGAATTCTTTAATGAAGGAGCTAATGGCGTACGAGAAGACTGTGGAAAGCCCGTGGCAAGTAGGATCAAGCTGTAGGTGAGCGCAAACCGTAAACGCTTCCATGTTAGGGAACTTGTGGCGGAGGCGAGCCGATTTCCGGTGTGGACGCACGCACTGGAAATTCCAGCATGTATATGTCTGGCGGACCTGGAAAACAACCTGTAATGTTTACTAAATAACAATATTGCCAATGTAGCAAATATGAGGCGTGCTGGGAAATGTGGGATATGGTGCTCAACACTTTTTTGGAACATGCCTGCACTTTCTATCCATACAGGTTGGGTGATATTCAGGGACCATAGAAAACGGTTCAGCTTTTGAATCTCTTCAGTACTGGACACCATCACCAAGGACCCTGAATGCTGGAGGCAGAGTCTGCAGGCAACGTGCCATGGCTGTCGATCTGGCACGTACTCAGGGTAATAGGCATCATGTGTAAGCAGGGTTTTGCTCTCCAATGTAAACACAGGGGTATTTTTTTTTACAACAAACTTATTGGGCACTTTCGGTGTAAACAACTTCTAAAAATAAATCTGTCCATGTGATTTCAAACTCTCCTTTGGATTGTTTTAGTTACAGATAGTATCTTTCATATTAACATCTGTTTTATATAATAGCGAGAGGAATATAACATAAATCCTGCATGATTATATTAGAATGTTAAGCATGTCTTTTATAAACAATTACACTTTGAATGCTGTGATTACCTTTTTCCATGCAGTGATGAATGAGGACTTTGGGGGGGAAAATGTTTGTAATTATTAAAAATACTATTAATTCAATTTAAATAGGTGTTCGTTATATTTATATTAATGATGTGGTCATTTTGTTAACGTAAGTATTCATATCAGGAAGACTTATCATTTTTACCACATACTATTTAAACGTATATAGTATTATGGATTACTTACAATAACATTGGAACAGATCATTTTCAACAGATTCATCCTGCGAACAAAACACATTGGTTAACAATGACGCAAATATAACTTTTTAATTATTTTTTTAACAGCAGTATTAAACACGTATTAACACTTATTTTTAGTAGTACTAAACACAACGAAAAAGTTTACAGACCATTACTTCAGTGTGGACGCACGCACTGGAAATTCCAGCATGTATATGTCTGGCGGACCTGGAAAACAACCTGTAATGTTTACTAAATAACAATATTGCCAATGTAGCAAATATGAGGCGTGCTGGGAAATGTGGGATATGGTGCTCACCACTTTTTTGGAACATGCCTGCACTTTCTATCCATACAGGTTGGGTGATATTCAGGGACCATAGAAAACGGTTCAGCTTTTGAATCTCTTCAGTACTATTCATATTAACATCTGTTTTATATAATAGCGAGAGGAATATAACATAAATCCTGCATGATTATATTAGAATGTTAAGCATGTCTTTTATAAACAATTACACTTTGAATGCTGTGATTACTTTTTTCCATGCAGTGATGAATGAGGACTTTGGGGGGAAAAATGTTTGTAATTATTAAAAATACTATTAATTCAATTTAAATAGGTGTTCGTTATATTTATATTAATGATGTGGTCATTTTGTTAACGTAAGTATTCATATCAGGAAGACTTATAATTTTTACCACATACTATTTAAACGTATATAGTATTATGGATTACTTACAATAACGTTGGAACAGATCATTTTCAACAGATTCATCCTGCGAACAAAACACATTGGTTAACAATGACGCAAATATAACTTTTTAATTATTTTTTTAACAGCAGTATTAAACACGTATTAACACTTATTTTTAGTAGTATTAAACACAACGAAAAAGTTTACAGACCATTACTTCTGTTCATCTCGAGCAGAAACGTTAAATATTCATGTATATGTACGTTATATAAAAACTGAATAAAACGTCCATTACCTGATATGAGGTAAAGTTATAGTCATAAATGTAATATTTTATCTCGAAGAGCAAAGTTTAGCAAACGGTACAGGCGCTGTGCTGTGAGATCCCGAGAAGCAGCAACGGCTCCCGCTCTAGAACACAGAGCAGTTCCCGCCACTCCCCTCACACGAGTTTGTGAGCGAACTTGAATTTATGTAATTTATTTCTTTAAAATAAAGATTAACACGGAAATAATATATATATATATAAAACTTAAACTTATTTTATATTCAGCTAGTTGCCAAGGCAACAGCAAAATCTCAAATAAAAACTACATATCGTTTTTTTTTTTTTACAGAACACTTATTAAAACCTTAACATTATTTTGGTGCCCCCTAGCCCCTTATATAATAATAATAATAATAATAACTTACATTTAAATAGCGCTTTTCTAGGTACTCAAAGCGAGTGTTGGGCAGTAACTAGTTACTAGTAACTTAGTTACTGTAATATTACTTTTTTCAGTAACTAGTAGAGTAACTAATTACTAATAAGATTTCAGTAATAATATTAGTTACCATCCATAAAACAGCTTAGTTACTTTTGATAACTTTTGCCTCAACCCCGCTGATTTAAAATCCAACAATTAAATAATTTCTAGATTTTAAATGTAATATTTTATCTCGAAGAGCAAAGTTTAGCAAACGGTACAGGCGCTGTGCTGTGAGATCCCGAGAAGCAGCAACGGCTCCCGCTCTAGAACACAGAGCAGTTCCCGCCACTCCCCTCACACGAGTTTGTGAGCGAACTTGAATTTATGTAATTTATTTATTTAAAATAAAGATTAACACGGAAATAATATATATATATATATAAAACTTAAACTTATTTTATATTCAGCTAGTTGCCAAGGCAACAGCAAAATCTCAAATAAAAACTACATATCGTTTTTTTTTTAGTTACCATCCATAAAACAGCTTAGTTACTTTTGATAACTTTTGCCTCAACCCCGCTGATTTAAAATCCAACAATTAAATAATTTCTAGATTTATTTTCATAATTTTCACAACTGAAACATGCATGTGATGTCCCCAGTGCAGCAGGCAAGCTTGGAATATGGAAAAGCTTACATTCAGCAGATAGAAATATTGCATTATATTGATTTTGTCAGAAAAAAAGATGATCTAAACACTGTTGAGTAAGTTGTGGCTTTACTTTACTATGGCATTACATCCCACCCACATTCCTCTGATCAACATGTGGTACATTATATTACTATAATTAAAAACCTTTTTGGAAAATTAAAGTTTCTTACAAACTTATGTGATTTGATAAAACGGGTACCGGAGAAATTACAATTAGCTTCAAGCTACATATGACAATTAATGAGATTAATACAGCACTTCTACTAGAATGTCACTATCAATCACTATTGAGTGTTTGTAATAACTTCTGACTGCGATCTAATGTGGATTTTGGTCAAATGATGAGGCAGAAATATGTTGTTAGTAAGAACAATTTTATGTGGAAGATACAGTTACAACTTCTGTGGGGCGTGAAGAAAAATTAATGTAACTAGTAGTGTAACTAATTACTGTTGCCAGAAAGTAATAAGTAAGAATATTACTTTTGAAAGGAGTAACTAGTAATGAGTAATATATTACATTCTTTGAGTAACTAGCCCAACACTGCTCAAAGCGCTTTACATTGTGAGGGGGGGGATCTCCTCATCAACCACCAGTGTGCGGCATCCACATGGATGATGCGACGGCAGCCATAGTGCGCCAGAATGCCCACCACACACCAAATTATTGGTGGAGAGGAGAGAGAGTCATGAAGCCAATCCGTAGATATGGGGATTATTAGGAGGCCATGATGGTCAGAGGGCAAATTTGGGGGGGGAAAATTTTTTTTTTGGCAAAATAATATAATATAGAAATACAGAAAAGGCATGCAATGTGTATGTTTAAATAGAACACCAGACTTCTTGTCCCAGTGAGTGTTTATTACTGAAAGTATAAATTAGTGTGGAACAATTACATGATCCATAGTAAATGCCACTGCAAATGCTAAAAATCAAGTCTCCATGCAAATGATATTGTGAAATACCAGTGCGCCCAAGCCTGTGCAAAGGCTTCAAGTGCAAATATATATACAGAAGTACTATTTTCTGCATGAGTTATAAAAGACTTAGGTGCTTGATCACTTGCAAAATACACAGAAACCCATCTTCATAAGTTATACAATTACGTTCTTCTTTAAAATCCTACAGGTCGTACAAAATTTGCAAACAAACTATTGTAGGCCTGAATGAGTGCATACTGTAAATATATCAAAATGAAAAGTGAGTCAACCTTTGCATTAACCATTATACCCAAAATAGTTATATACATGACTAGTACATGACTTCAATCTGTGGCTATCCAAATCACACCCAGCGGGCATCTCTGGAACACGCGCTAATGCCTGAGGAAAGCGAATACACGACTTTAGGAACCGTTCGATTTCTGCTGCCATAACCTGGTTGAACAAACTGTCTGTCTGTGTCCAGCATCTGTATTCCGTCTGTGCTTTTATCGAACGCCGCTGTCAAAGCCTTCAGCGCCGAGTGCACTTGATCACGGGAGGCCATGATGTTCCTCTCACATGGAAGCTGGAGACTGTCGGAACGTCTTCCAGCCATTTCGTATGGAAGGCCGTTGATGACATCATCAATTGTCTTGGACAGAGACTGTATCGTCTGACTAAGGCCAGCGTCGCTGCCCCTCCCTGCATTACAATAAAATGAAGTCATGTCACATATTTGTCATAGTTGAGAAGTGTTTCATATGAATGCTATTGTGGAAAGGATGCTGTACCCTTCAGAGAGTGCAACAAAGATGAGTGGAGATCTTTGATCGCTCGGTTCAGCTTGAGGAGTTTAGCGGTGGTGTTCTGAATGGCACACAAGTCTGAGCCTTCATCATCCTCTGAACGATCCTCAGCAGTGCCTGACCTCTCCTGTGAAAGAGCAGATGTACAAACATCTCTTAAAGGGAAAGTTCACCACAAAAATAAATAAATAAACAGAACCCAAAGCAAAACCAAACAAAGCCACAAATCAAAACAAAAAAAGAAAAGAAATAAAAACTATTAAATCCATAAAAACTAAATAAAACTACCAAACCAGACCAAAACCGCACCAAACAAAACCAACCCCCAAAACAAAAAAGCAAAACACCCCCCAAAAAAAACTAAACCTAGAGCAAAAAAAATTTAAAACAAGAAAAATAACTTCATTAACAAACAAAAAAACACACACACACACACACACACCAACCCCCCCAAAAAAAGAATATAAGCCTGACCTCTCCTGTGAAAGAGCAGATGTACAAACATCTCTTAAAGGGAAAGTTCACCACAAAAATAAATAAATAAACAGAACCCAAAGCAAAACCAAACAAAGCCACAAATCAAAACAAAAAAAGAAAAGAAATAAAAACTATTAAATCCATAAAAACTAAATAAAACTACCAAACCAGACCAAAACCGCACCAAACAAAACCAACCCCCAAAACAAAAAAGCAAAACACCCCCCAAAAAAAACTAAACCTAGAGCAAAAAAAATTTAAAACAAGAAAAATAACTTCATTAACAAACAAAAAAAAACACACACACACACACACACACACCAACCCCCCCCAAAAAAGAATATAAAAAAAGTAATTAAATGCAAATGAAACCAAAACCTCCTGCCCTCGAAATAAAAACTATTAAATCCATAAAAACTAAATAAAACTACCAAACCAGACCAAAACCGCACCAAACAAAACCAACCCCCAAAACAAAAAAGCAAAACACCCCCCAAAAAAAACTAAACCTAGAGCAAAAAAAATTTAAAACAAGAAAAATAACTTCATTAACAAACAAAAAAACACACACACACACACACACACCAACCCCCCCAAAAAAAGAATATAAAAAAAGTAATTAAATGCAAATGAAACCAAAACCACACCAATTCCTGCCCTCCCAAAAATTAACACAAAACTAAATACAAACGAAACAAAACCAAACCCACACCAATCCTCCACCCTAAAAAGAATAAAAACAAAAATGAAATAAACAAAGCAAACCAAAACCAGACCAACAAAAACAAAACAAAACCTCAACAAAGCCAACCAAAACCCAAACACCCCCCCCCAAAAAACCCCGGAAATTGGAAGTAAAACCATACAAAGCAAACTAAATAAAAACAAAACAAATTTAATAAAAACTAAATAATTAAATATAAATAAATATATTTTAATTAAATATACATTTATTGTTGCCTATTTTATTTGTTTTAGACCACAGGGTTTCAGGTACAGTGGGTGGGTTTGAGGAATGGGTGAGCAGGTGGGGTGCATCCATTTTTCCTTATCCCAGCATCCCATTCTCTTGCTGAACAATAACAACGAGCCTGTAGTTTGTGTATTGAAGATAACAGTTACAGCCACATTAAGGTGACAGATGACACTCCACTCGAACCATTTATTTTGTAAACAGACAAACGACCCAAGACGTGCGATAAGAGCACTCAGGTTCAGCGTTTTACAAGCACTGTCCCCCTCGGTCATTGTTGGGCTGGTCATCAATCCAAAACATTTTACCCTCAATGACAAATAACAGCTGTTTGTAAGGCGTACCGACAAACAACAGCGGAAGTAGCTCTGCAGACTGCTGGCAACATCCATTGCGTTGGATTTCTGAATCTGTGAAATATATTAGAATTTATATCATGAAATGATGTTAAAGTATACATTTTTATCAGTTAATGTGAAATGTATTTACAATATTCACTGGATAAATAAAGATTCCATTTTAAGGTTATTTCTTGAGATAATATTCCATGATATTTATCAAGTGGATTATTTATTAAGACAACTTACCGGTATATGAGCAGATGAAAGATCTCCCTGCATCTCTGTAGTGATCCTCTGACCTATGAGGAGAAGATCAGTCACACTCTGACGCATCCCATCCCACAAAGAATCCACAACTGACCTCTAAAGAGAAAGAGAATGGTGTTGAATTTTTGATTCTGACTGGTTTTTAATGTCAAACCTACTATTGGGCTGTAAATGTCAGCTTGCAAAAGAAATATACCCACGTTGTCTATGATTTCTGAACCATGTTCAGTCAAATGAAGATCAGTCCCATTCACTGCTGCCAGCATACCGATGGTTTTGAGAGCCACGTTCATACACTTGGCAACCTTCCTCTGGGCCTCTGTTACCATGGAGGAGATCTCAGAGTCACAGCCCTGAAAGACCAAAACACAGAAAGACCAACACTCTTAGAAGGCTTTTACTGAAAATTCCAATGTTGATACTTAGCACAACAAAATTCTTTAAAACGACTTCTGTTTTTTTTTTTAAATGTAATATATAATTGCATTTGTAAATGCATTTTACTATTAGATACTTGCGCAAGGGCAAGTTAAACCAATATATAATCAGGTGAGAAATCAAATAAATTGATTATTAAAATGCCTAAATGTGCACAACAATTAAATAAATATTAATATATACAGCTGATTTACTTAATTTTACTGCTAGATATACACTCAATAATCAGTTTAAAGGTAAGTCAGTTAAATTAAAAAATCTTTGTAAATACAACCAATAATAATAATAAAATTAAAGAATTATTATTATTATTGTGCTTTTTTTATTATTTATAGGTATACAATGTATTGTTATTATTAATATTATTATTAAGTGTATTTATCAACATTTTGGCATTTCATTATATATTTTTATTTGATTGGAACTGATTAAGGGGTTTAAATTTGACTTGTATATCATAATAATTTTTTAATTTTGTTTAATTTAAAGAAATATTCAGATATACAGGCAAATTTAAAACACTTAATCGGTTCAAATAAAATAAAAACTTAATATAAAGTCAAAATGTTGGTAAATGCACTCAACATTATTATTATTAATAATACATTTAATGTTTAATTAATCTAAATGAAAGATATATTAACATTTATTAAAAGTCTAAACAGACAAATATATTATTACTATTCTATTAGTAATATTTTTACATTTTTGTGCAAAACTGATAAATTGACAAAAATTGATAAAATGATTTTAAGACATTATTTTGGATGAGATGATTGCATTTTAATTTTTTCTAGGGTCCCCCTACAGATCTAAAAGCATCACATACATGCAACTGGCATTAACTGACTATGAACTATAATGAGCACCTGAATGAGTAACTGAAGGTAGCCTCCAATTTTCTTGACCTCAGTCTTGAGCTCCTCAGCTCTCGGAGACACTGAATCAAAGCTGGGCTTAATGCTGGAGACCCAGTGCATGGTAATGAACACGGCCCTTTCAACAGCAGACGTGGCCTTCACTAGATGAGTCTGGGCTTCAGTACTGCAGGCAAACACTGTTCACATACACACAAACAGAACGAAATGAGGCTCTTTGTGAGGGCTGTGATGACATAGGTCTTGTGCAGTCATATTGAGCTAAATATTGACACTGATGGATGGCTTTGTTGATTTACGGTTGACTTACGGTTCTCCTGACTGTCGTCGTCAAGGTGCTCGTAGAGGTCTGCGATGGACCTCACGGCACGGTAAACCGCCAGCAGATCTAGGGTCAGTTTGTCAGCCAAGCTTTCGCTCTCCTCAGCTGATTGGCAGGAGCGTAGACGAGCAACGGCAGAGCCAATCAGGCCTTTGCAGATGGCTGGGAGAGCGGAATCAGAGGTGCTGGAGTGCAGAGAGGGGGGCTTGTTCATCAGCCCTAAAAAGCATATCAAAAGTTATTTAATTTCCAGGGGGAAACAGTCATATTTAAGCAGGTTGAAAAAAAATCAAACTAGTCTGTTATTCTAGTATTAATTATTATTCATGTACTATTATAGTTTTAAATATTTTTCTCTTTTAATCTTGTAAGCGCCGCTAGCAGCCGCAGGATTCTCGTGAATAAGCTCTGCTCGCCTGCCGCATCTCTCCAACTGAAAATGAACTGAGCTCACAGTTGCCACGTAAACTGTGCAGTACAGAAGATGGGGGACAAAAGGGGTGTTCCAGCCACCCAAACATTCAAAACCAATATTAAGCATAATCAAATTTTTTACTCCTGAACAAAAAAAAGTGTACAAATTTAGTCAATTCAACATTGTTTGGACCCCACTGCCTTTCACTGTATTGACAAAAAAACACTGAACCATTCTTTAAAAAATATTTTCTTATTTTCTTTGAAATGACATGACGGTGAGTAAATGATGACAGAAACATAATTTTTGAGTGAATTATCTCATCAAAACCACTAATCTGAATGATGCTAAACTAATTTAAAGAGTCGAAGAGCCAGATACAATATAAAGGGTACTTTACCAGTGGACTGTGAGGGACCACAATGCAGGCTTTGAATGGGGTGCACCCGGATCTCATAGAGACGGCCAGAAATCCTTCTGCTCTTTAGCAAACTTCTACTCCTGAGCCACAAGAAACAGAAAAAAAAGAGATCCAGATACTTTTGAACTTATATCTTGACTTGAACCATCATTATCAGTCAGATAACTCTGCTTCTTTAAAGGGGTCATATGATGCGATTTCAATTTTTCCTTTCTCTTTGGAGTGTTACAAGCTCTTGGTGCATAAAGAAGATC